TCGAATTTTGAGAATAACATAAGAGAAGGACTTACTACACCTCTTCACACAGTTTACAAAAATGGATTAGTAAAGACAGAATTTAGGTTGTGGGGTTACGATTTATCCGAGCAAATTTAAATTATTTTTTTTTCTTTTGATTTAGCGATAAGAGATGAGCTGTTGTCGGCACTTTTTTTTCTTTTCTTTTCTTTTTTTTTCTTAAACGATCTGCATTAAAATGCCACCACAGTGCAAAGAGTGTCGGCGCTCAGGTGTGTTTGTCCTCCGCCGTCTTCTACTGCGCCAATTTTACTCTTTTGCCCGCCTTGCGGTTGCTTCCAAAGGCCAAAAATGCGACAAACAAGGAATTTAAATTACAGCCACAACTCAACAGGCATTTTGTCCATTGCAAAACCGCATCAACGCGTAGATTTAAAAAAAAGAAAAGAAATTAATCGCAAATGCTTTTACCTCCTCGCATTCGCATTTTTTTATGCCCATCAAGTCGCAGGCAAATAGTCGAACCGAAAACTGTAGCCTTTTCTTTTTTTTTTTGGAAAAGGAGAGAGGAGAGGGGGAGAATTTGTGGAGTCTAGAAATTTGTTTTAAATTTGTCATTTTACTTTGAGCACAAATTTAGGGGCGTGAACATAAGGTGGAGGTGTGGGCTCAAGTTTACGACGCCAATTTCTTCATTCGCTCTCACGCATTGTTGCTAGAAGGGCTACAAATGGCACAAAATTGCTTGTTCAATTTTTTTTTTCACAAAGTTCTACTCCTTAAAGTGTTATAAAACACGGAAAATGCAACGCATTAGTAAAAAGGGAGAACATTGCTAGTATTGTTTGAAAAAATTTTTAGCTGTTGTTTTAACTGGACTGGAAAGAGCACTAAAAGTAACCAAAATTGCTAATATTAATAATTCTCTACTAGCCTGATTATAAAGTTGTCTGAAAAAAGGGTGCATCAACCCACCTCCCAAAGGCTTGGCCTACGACACATAACCAGCCGGGATAGAGTTGCTCATCAAATGTTTTTTTGATGAATCTTGCAATGTCTCGTGGCTTGTTACAGCTGTCCAATGCGTCCGACGCCGTATTTACCGCCATTAATTGCAACTCCTCGGTCATGTCAGTGATTCGAATGATTACTCGGATTGGCGGTCGTTTACTGTGGTTGGAACCGATGCCATGCCTTCCAACAATCCCCATTGCCATCTTACATGTGAAAAGAGTGAAGTGTGCACTCCGTGCCTGGGTAGCATCTCACAGTGCGTGCTCTGCGTGGTGGAGGCAGTTCTTATGGTGTGCCAAGTAGAAAGGGCGCGCTTCAAAGACCTCATGGCGACGGAGAGACAGGCTTTCACCCTTCTTACCTGGATGGTAGGCAGCTGCCTGCTTGATTGGGCTACTAGTGACAAGACGACTTAATTTTTGTTTATCATTAGAAGGGTCCATGCTATTAAGGGGTAATTTATTTTATTAAAAAGTAGCTTCACAAGTAATGTAAACTTGGCCATAGTTACAATCACAAATTCATCAATTTTGGTGGAGGCGGTGGG